TTATTTAAACCTCACAACTTCACTCTAAAGTAGGTATTGCTATCTGATTTTCCAGATGCAGAAAGCCTCAGGCTCACTGAGGACATGGGACTTGTCCAAGGCCACAGAGCTTGTAAATGTCAGGATCAGGATTTGAACCAAGGCCTTTTTACTCTGGGTCTAAGGAATTCTGACCCAACCATAGCTGTCAGCAGGTTATAACCTAGACTACACTGGAATATGCTAGAGGCACTATCCAGCCATTATACTGAAAGAGCAAGAAAGTGAGGATAAATGGTGCTCATAACTACTCCACTGCCTCCTTATATTTGTTTCCCTGTCTCATTGAGAGCTCGTGTCTCTTTCTCTCCCTATTCTCTGTCCCTCCTCCCCCTGTAGCTCAAAATGACTAGGCACAGATAGCAGACAAGGGAATAATTAAATAAACACTGCCCTGGGTTGTGTGTTGGGGGGGTGTTTTAAGAATGGGTAATAGAAGATAGGTTGAATATTTATGCCCACATGGTATGAAAAGCTCAGAGAGTTCTATTATAGATTGCTATCTTTGTCTTTTTCAATATTTTTACCAGTGGCATGAACAAAGGAAGATAAGGAAGAATATTTTGTAGTAATTTAAAAAGTTCCATCCATAAAGAAGCTACAACAGAAATAAACTTTTAGGCATCAAATAACATAGCAGCAAAATAGGTAAGGCAAAAACTTTTATAAAAAAAGAACATTTGATAAAAACAAGACTTGAGAAGATTTTAACAAACTTATCTAGGATTTGATACATTAGTCAGGCAAAAAGTGCTATAAGTATGTAAAATATTTAAAACCATCAAGCAGCAAGCTTAATTTAAGAGATAAATATAGAGTTGTGTACCCTGCAGTAGAATACACATGCTTCTCATGAAGTTATGCAAAAAGTGATAATGTTTTTGATTACACAGGAAAGGTTCATAGATTCTAAGAAGTAGATACCTTACCAATATATATATTTTTACTAATAAACTATTTTTTTACAATAAACTAGAAACCAGTAGTTTTTATATTAAAAACACTCTTTTAGGGGTGCCTGTGTGGCTCAGTCGGTTAAGTGTCTGACTTTGGCTCAGGTCATGATCTCAGCGTCCTGGGATGGAGCCTGCATCAGGCTCCATGCTCAGTGAGGAGTCTGCTTCTCTCTCTCTCTCCCTCTACCCCTCCTTCTGCTCATGCTCTCTTTCTCTCTCAAATAAAGAAAATGTTAAAAAATTAAAAATAAAAACACTTCTAAACAACTCTCAGATGAATTAAATAATCAAAACTGACAAACTAAGATAATATATTATTTATCTTACATTATGATTAAAAATGTAAAATACCAACAAAGCTTGGAAGGTCATTGAGTACACTGGATGACCAGTTGGGATCCATTAAGATAATGTCAGGCTGGAAAGATGGATGGACTCTAATAGAATTACATCTGAGATCTTGCTCTGGTGTCCAAAAAGCCAATGACAGAAGCACAAGGTGGAAGAGATATGATTCAGTAGCACCATCTTTAAAAGAAGAACAATCACACAGACAAAAGATTTAGAGGTTTTATTTGACAAATGAGTTCGGCATTCATCAACTGTGATGTGGCTGCCAAGAAAAGTTAATGTGATTTTAGGCTGCATGAATAGATATGCAGCGTCTAGAACAAGAGAGGCATAGTCCAGCTCTAAGCTGTGCTAATCAGACTTCACACACTGGGCATTCCGTTGGGGGTTCTGTGGCTCGAGGAAGCTAAATCAGGGCACATTCAGAGAAAAGTAAAGAGAAAGGTGAAGGGATGTACAAAAAAAAAAAAAAGATCCCCATGAGCCATGGTTGGAGGAAGTAAAGAGACATGGCATAAACCCAAGGCAACTCCTTGAAGTCTTAATGCTGTTTTCAAATATATAAAGGGTTTTTATGCAGAGGAGGGCTAAGGTCATAGAAAGACATATTTCTGTGAGCCAGAATATTCCAAAGATGAAAGAGCTGTTTAGAGATCCAGCCAGGTTTCCTATCGCTAGAGGTGTTCTAACCTAGTTTGGGTAAATACATGGCAGGGACATTGTGGCAAGGGTTTTAGCACTGGGAAAATAGGTGGTTGGATCAGGCAGACCTTCCAACCCTGAAATTCTTCAGTTCCTCTGGAATCCGGTGTTCCCTGAGTATGGTCTTTCCATGGGCTACTGATTTAGGTATCCCAAGTCTTAAATTGATTTTGTACACATTTTTAGCATTCACATTTTGAGCATAGACCCTGCGGATGATGAAAATGACTGAGTGTCCTAACCTCGATGAGACAGCATCAGCCCAGATGAGACAGTTTTTCGGGATTTTAAAAGGAAACATTCAATTAAAGACATCTGATGTTCTAAGAGTTCAGAGAAGGGGTCAGCGAGCGTTCGAATAGGTGGGGAAATTCTCACGGGGAAGATGAAAAAGTATATGTGTGCTTCAGGCAATCTGAGCGGTTTTCGAAATTGTGCTAACAGAGATGTATGTACTGAGCAAGCATAATTGGTTGCTTCTCTCCTTTGGTGGGGGAATATGGTGTGCGGGCTGGCATGCCACATGCCACACGGGCAGACCTCTTTAGAGTGTCTCTCACGATTACCCTTCTCATGGCCACTGCAGAGCTCCCCACAGACACAGGCTTCCGGCCCTGCAGCTCCCGCTCACACACAGCCTGTGTCTCTAACAGATGGATCTGACAGGAGCCTTTATTGATGAAGCTTTCCGTTCTTCATCTTCCTGATTGCCTCTCACCTTTTCCAAACCCAGCAGCACTTTTATCCTTGAAACTAAGACCTTCCTCCCCTTGGGGGACAATGGCTCTTGCCCTCCACAGCCCATGACAATAATTACAATAACAAATAATCCCTTACATTTACTTAGGGCTTTGCTGTTCCAAATGCTTTTCACGCCGGCTCTCTTGTTTGTTCATCATGCTGGTGCCAGGGCAGGGTGGGGAGGAGTGGGGACTCGGGGCACGTGCTACTCTGGGATGTAAGGAGGTCAGAGTGCTCAAGGTCACACTGAGGATTTGAGCTGATTCCGGGTTCAGAACCCAGGGCTTTTGAAGCCCTGAGCTGGTTTAGTGGTGTGAGTGGTATGAACAGCACTGTGATGCCCCCCATTCCTGGCGCTCATGTGTCTGACTAGGGCTGGTCATGAGTCAGTTGGTCAGTCCATGGGACTCATCCTCTGAAGACCTTCAGGCCTGGCCCAGTCCCCTAGGATGCCAGCTTTATTCAAAAGCATTTCCAGAGGTTTGGTTCCATGAATAAGTCTGGTTAGCCTGGACCTGGGCTCATTAAAGCCCACCTGGAACCCCAGGGCTTCTTTGCAATGGACCCAGCCTTTGTTAATGAGGGCTAGAAGGAGGCACCATTCAGAGACTGTCTGCCTTCCCCCTATTTGTTTTTTTAGCAATCTGCAAAATTACTTACTTTATGACAAGCAAACTGACATGCGAGCATGAAGAACAGAGTTTGTTGATTTAATCAAATGAAACATAGAGCAAAGTTAATATAACACATTTAATGATGGTATAGAATTGATGCCCTGTATGGTTATTAAGCATAAATGGTAAACAGCTTATATGGATGACTGTAATTAGTATTGCTTTATCAGAGCAAATCAATTTTTAAGTTACTCTCATCTCACTTTATTAGTTCTTCAGTATTTATATAGTTGGAATCACTGTCTAAAGTTGTCCTTTATACCATCTGCCATCTAGCACCTGAATTTCTTTGAACATAGGAAGATAATGCCAGGGACCCAGAGAAGACTTTCTTTCTGAAAGTCCCTTCAGATGGTGTTCATTTCTGCCCTTGAGGTGTCCCTATTCAAGAGCAGGTACATTTGCTCCTTATTTCTTATACTTATTATGGGCTGGCTAATGACAAAAGTAACAATCCAAAACATTTGTCATTTAGCACGAAGAGATTTCTTACTCTTAGCCAACCAGAAATTTCCTACGCCCAGGATGGTAGTAAACACAGGGCTCCAGCTCGTGGAAGTCACCTTTTGCTGAGCGCATCCTGAGGCCATTGCCATACTCACTCCAAAGGTTTCTGGCTTTGGGGGTACAGCCAAGAGAGGGAACTTAGAGGCTTCTGCTTCGATATGAGTGACCTTGGCCATGACGACTCACACCAGTTCCTTGTCTGGGTCACTTTTGTGGTTCCTGTAGACCTGGACGGATGCCAGGCAGAATGGCTCCTTAGTCACGTTCCATCTGTGTGGCATAGGTAGCAAGTGAGGAAGGGACATCCTTGGGCAGCAGGGAAGGCCTGGCACTAGATTGGAGTCCTGAGTGGACATCGGGGAGGTGGAGGTTAAAACGATGAAGGACTCAGAGGAATAAGCACGTTGCCATCCTTGATGTTTTGTTCAGAAATCTTCCCAGTACCCCTTAGAACTGAAAACCAGAGCCCTTTGCTTCGTTATTAAAGTCTCATTCCTTGGATAAAGGGCAGAGGGGGCTTGCCACCATTTGAGTTTAGAATGGCAAGTGCCAAATGTTATAGTATGAGTAGGTTCAAAACAGACCTTGAGAACCAAGACATCAGCCTGCTCCTGAGCGTGGATTCTTCCCCTTAACAGGTGAGAAAGAGGACCAGGGGGCACTGAGCCAGAGAGAAACTTTCAGTGCAGGTCAGAGAAGAGGTGTCACGGTGCAGTCCCCTGGGATGCTTTGTCCAGATAACTTCCATCTCTGTTCAAATTTTCAGCCTTCTTGTTTGAATTTGGACGTGGGTGGGGGGCGGCACTCAAAGGAGGACCTATCTGGACAACACCAGAGATGACCTATACATCTTGTTCCCAAAGCCGTATTTGTCTTGGTCTCTATATAGGAGCAGGGTACCCAGGTATCTCCTTCCCGTCCTGTGGGGGTCCTCAGTGTAAGAAGAAGATGCTGGCAGGGGGATGAGGACATCTCATCATCACTGCCCGCCTTGAACAAGCCTGCCCCTTCTCATGCTGTCTGCCTGGGGCCCTGGACCTGAGATGGCATGAGCACTGGACAGGTGTGGCCCCCCCTTCTTTTGTCGGGGGTGTGGTGTCGGTGGTTGTCCTTATCATGGAATCTTTTGACATTTTCTGAGCAATGTGCATCACACGAGCACACAGTTTCGGGAGAGCCCTCTGACTGTGCCGTTCAGACCATGCTAATGTAGCCAAGTAGAAAGAAAGCATCCAAAGTGGGAAGGAGAGCAACCAAGAACCCAAATAGGAAAGAAGCCCGCACAACACAACTTTATGCTGACTATAGGTGTAGGGACCAGCGGACAATAGGGAGGTCCGTCCAGCAGAGGCCAGGGGCTCGTTGTTGAAATAAAGCGAGGTTAAGGAAGATGGAGCCAGGGAAGCCTCACTGAGGAGTGTAGGGGTCATCTAGAAATGATGGCCTCCTCATCCAGGAGGAGGAGAAGGTCCTGCTAGGCCTGCGTGGTCCGCTAATCCTGAGGAACCGATCTCGCAGCTTCGGCGGATGGGACCTACACAGTCACCCCCACCAACCCAAGCTCCTGACGGGGTCCTGGTGCCTGGGCCCCAGGACTTGTGCTGTAGGATAAAGGAACTTGGGTGTAGACCTCATGAAACTCTCCTTCTGCCACCTCTGCAGGAAAATTGCTGCTTATGATGAAGAAATCCAGCATCTCTACGAGGAGATGGAACAGCAAATCAAGCATGAGAAGGAGCAGTTTCTCCTAAAAGTAAGAGTCCACACCGGGGCTCGGCTCTGAGGGCCCGGGGGAAAGATCGCCTGCTCTGACCCCCACCCCAAGTTGAAGATTGCAGCACCCCCACCCGCGGCACCGTGGGTTCCCTGTTTCTCTGCTTTAGATTTTTCAAGGCATCTGTCACCCTCACATGTGGCATTTAATTTCCTTCTTTATTTTTGTTGATTGGGGTCTGTCTCCTACTAACTTGAAAGCTCCACAAGAGCAGGAATCTTTCTTTCACTTGCTAATGCGTCCTCAGCACCTCAGCCAAGCTTGGAGCATAGTAGGTCCTCAACAAACATGTGTTGAATCACTGAATGAATGAACAAGGGACAAAGGAATGAATGAATAAATGAGCGAAAGGATGAAGGTACATGCGTTGCCCGTCGCAGCAACTTGAAGACAGGGTCTGACACCGGCTGGTCCCCAGAGCTATGTGGCAGGCCCACCCAGATGCAGTCCATTCCACTCCGTGCGCAGCAACTCTTCTCAGGGGCCATCATTAGAGTCTATGCTTCCCATCCTTTCCCTTAGACACCTAGAAAATTTAATACCCAAGACAAGTCAAATCCCACCCTTCTCGGACACTGTGGGAGAACATTTAAAACATGCATCCCCTGTTCCTCGTCTGGCACTTAGTTTCCTACCAAGCCCTGCTGTTTGTCTTGGGAGGTCAGAATTGGTGAAATTCTCCCCTTTTGCAAGCTAAGCAGGGGCCTTTGGGGAACATATTTATAAAACAAAGCTACAGGAAACTCTCTCTTACCTATTTTTGGATTATCCAGCTTGGTGGGTTCTCAGCAGAAAAGTCTTTAATCTCGAATGGTAGCCTCCTCCCTTCCTTCAGGCTGCTATTACAACGATGCCATAAACAGGTGGCTTATAAACAACAAACATTTATTTCTCACAATTCTGGGGGCCGGGAAGTCCAAACTCAGGGGGCCAGTGGGGGAGTCAGGTTCTGGTGAGAGCCCACTTCCTGGGTTTGGCTGTGGCCTTCTTGCTGTGTCCTCACAGGGCGGAGGGCGCAGGCAAGTGCCCTTTAATAAGGGCTCTAATCCCACTCCTGTGGGCTCTGCCCTCATGACGCACTCACCTCCCAAAGGCCCCACCTCCTCGGGGCCATCACCTTGGGGCTTAAGTTTCAACATGTGACTTCTGGGGATACAACGTAGAGACCACGTCGTCCCCTGCCTCTCAGAACCGAACCTGGCCATTATCACAACCCCATCCCTCCTCCTAAATGCAGGTTGGTTTGAACCAATTTTTAATTTTATGCTGGTTGGATTATCCACACCAAGGCTCTATTTATTATCATAGATGCCATTTAAATTGAGGTGGGGTTGGAATGCTTTCCAGAAAAAGCCAGTCATGTTCTCCAACTAGATCCCTCTGAAGGCTTGTCAATATTTCCAGACTCTACCCCACTCTTTCTTTTTGGAGCTTTAAAATATTCAGCCTGTCCCCTGACCTTCAGCGTAGTTGGGTGAGTATAAGGCCGACAGAACTCAAACACTTGTCACCCAGAGGACCCTAAAATAGTTTCTGAGAACAGCGGCCGCTTTCCTCCTTGCAGTGGGAAAGCCACTCCCTTGACCCCAGATGATCTGCTTCTAGGCCGTGACTACAGGTCAAAGGTCCTAGCTAAAGAAGGAAGCATGCTTCTAGAAGTGAAAGGTGGGCCAAGGCATGGGAACTGGGAACGGGAGGAGGTCGGAGGAAAAACTTCAAGGACACATTCATATCATGTTAAGGTGATGTGACGACGCTGCTGTACCCCTTCACCCACCCTCTGCTCCCCCTTCCCCTGCTTAGTACCCCAGGCCTTTCAGGCCCCGTGCTTAGATGTACGCTTTTTGCGGAAACATGGAAACTGTTGAGATGTGCTGGGCTTTGCAGACACAGGCCTTTGCCTGGTCCCAGAGTGAGGACAGTGGCATTACAGTTTGGGACAGCATGGGAAGGGCTGGCCCTTCTGGCCGGGGCTTGGCTCCTGGCGCTACACGGACCAGTTTGTTTGACCGTGAGGGAAATGCTTAATCGCTTGCACGCTCTGGCTCCAGCTCCGGGATAAGAGGCGCCCTCAAGGCTCTGTGCCGGTGGGGGGGGGCTCAGTAAGACCCTCCGCAAGGCCACTGTGGGGATGGCAGCATCTGCGCTAGAATTCTGGAGCCGCCCCCTCCCCCCTCGCCCCGGCACTGTTCGCAGGGCGCCCACTCTGTGAGTGATGCCCCAGGCTGAGTGAAGCGGGGTCCCTGGTAAAGGAGTTGCGAACAGGCGCTGCCTGGTCCAGCCCTGCCTCTGCCATTGCGTGTGGTTGACAGGAGGACCATCGCAGGCTCTCCCCGAGCTCCCTTTCCCTGCCTGAGGAGCCGGGTAGTGGCTGATGATGATGAGCCCAGGCTAATCCTGAGCCTTTGAACGGAGGTGTCCAAAGACCTGCACCTGAGAGTGGTTTTGTGCCCCCCCGCTCCCCTGGGGGCGCCGTCATGCCCAACCTCGTAGTCCCCAGAGCGTGCGGCATCCCACAGCTGCCCCCCCACCCCCCCAGGGGCTTGGGTAATGGTTTCTTCTCTTCCTGCACATTTTGCACCTCCTTTCTGCCTTCAGCAGAGTGGAGAGCTGCATGTGCCTGCATATTTTTGTTTCTATCATGTGAACAAAGGAATAATGATAGGCGAATGAAGTAAGCCAGGGCTGGAACCCCAGTCTCCTGATGCCCAGCTGAGGGCCTTTACACCAGACCAGGCTCCGAGAGAGGGTCAGCCGTCCCGACAAGCCACACAGTTCTCTCTTTACCCCACCCCAAACCCCTTCACACTACGCCGTCAGCTTCTGGAGCAGGGAAGCCCAGTTGTAGGGCAGGAAGGGGGTGCTGTCGAGCACAGGGGCAGAGACTTCACAAAGAGCAGGGCTGGGACACCTCAATCACGGTGGGAAATGGCGAGGACGTAGACCCTCAAGGGGAAAAAGCGATGCCCTGTGCTAAGGGATCGAATGCTAGTACCCAACGTGGAACAGAATATGCATGTTAGAAGGATATTCCACCCCACCCCCCATTTACAGGTGGGGAGATGGGGGCCCGGGATTCAAACTCAGGCCGCTGTTCTGTTCTCCGTGTTCAGGACTGCACCACTAACTGAGGCTGCCTCCTTCGGGGGGAGGGGGGCAGCGCACTGTCATTGGTGGTGGTCACACTTGGTGGGAGCTGGTGTCATGCCTTGCGGAGCACTTGCCGTCTCTCCGTCTCGCTGGGCCTCACCGCTGGGCAGGCAGGGCACCGCAGCCCTGGAATGTTGTAGGAAGGGCCCCGAGGTCCAAAAGGATGGCTGGGCCCTGCTGTTGAGCAGATACGAGGTGGGGGGAAAAAGTCTGCATCCCAGGGGCACTTGGGCCTCACGTCCCCTTCTTTCCTGCCTGGCAGGACACGGAGAGGTTTCAGGCCCACAGCCAGGAGCTGGAGCAGAAACTGTTGTCGAAGAACCAGGAGCTGGAGCAGCTCATCCAGAAGCAGAAGCGGGTATGATTTGGTCATGGCCTCCGAGCCCCCGGCTCCTCCCTCCATCCTCCGCTGGCTTTTGCCCACTTTCCCCACTATTCACTGGACGACTTGGGTTTGTTTATTTGTTTGTCTGTTTTTAATCCCAGAAGAAGCATTGAGCTGTACAAAAGATAGCATTTGAAATCACAGGTGACTCCAGGATAAAGCCTTCACCTCTCCAGTGCCAGGTGTTACATTTGGGCAAGTTGCCAAGAGTTCTCCCTCGAGGCATCTGAAGACATCGTCCTCTAATTATGCCCAGGAGCCACCAGAATGCCAACATGTCCACTCGTTTCCTGCATCCTGTGTCAGAAAAGAGGGGGATGCTGAGATACAGGGGACATAGTCGCTGAGGCTTTGGGGGACGCTGCAGACAGTGATGTCTTCCTGCCAGGATGGCCACGGATACCTCCAGTAGGAAGAGGCTCTTTAAAGATCGATTTGTCCATCCCTTGTCTTCCTATGTGCCCAGAAAAGGTCCATCAGCCTTTCTTTGGTGGCTGTTCCCATCACCCCCCAGGAGGTAGGCAGACACCAAATGTGCCTGCCACGCACCTGAGCCCCAAGAGGCAGTCTGGGTGGTGCACTGTGTAGGGCTGGCTAATGACCCCAGGAAGACTGATTACCTGGGCAAACTTCACACTCACAGCCTCCTCTCCAAAGCGAGGGCTCGTGGGGGAGAAAGGCCACGGTGCCACTTGGCCTCCCCCATTTTGTTTTGTCTGGCGCTGGAAGGAATCCAGCCCTGCACAGACCCAGACACATTGCTTCCGTTTGAATAGAGAGGGCTATTTTTAGCAACACATTAGAATATGCTTGAAGCTGCCCCATGCTGAAAGCTAGAGACTGTCCCACTCCAGCTGCTGCCCGACCTGTGGATTTGGATTTCTTCCTTCTGCAAGCAAGATCATTTCAACTTCAGCTGCCTTCCCCTGCCCTGGCCACAGCCCAAGCTTCTCCTGCTCTTTCTCCTCGTCACTGTTCGGCATTAAGTTGTTACCAATTAGACTTATCCCTGAAATGAATGATTGCCACTCGGTTTAATTACTGCATGCTTGCCTGATTACACAGGAGCCTCTTGAGAATCACACAAAATTCCTTCTTGCAGCTTCCTCCTCCCCTTACTGGCCACATTCATTAAACTCAATTTATTATATTTTCCTTGGTTTGATTCCTCCCCTGGTGAGAGGGTTGGAAGCTCTGCAAAGCAGAAGCACCAGCCAAGAAAATCTGCACTTATACAAATGCAGGGGGTTTTGTGTTTTTTTTTTTTTTTAGTTGCTTTAGGGACATGAAACAAGGTATATGTTTGGTTTGACCTGTTTTAGCTGTTTCCTAAGAATTTCCAGGGTTTCTGGCCACCATACAAAGTTTCTCTAGATTAAAGGAATTGGCCTTGGTTAGCTGAGAGAAGAAAAGGGGATAAATAGACTTACTGTCAGCATTCAGAACTGGGAAGGATGGTTTTATGGAGAACGCCACTTAGCTGCCTTCCATGTTCATCGGGGCTGAGGGAGACAGTTGGCTGAAAGGACAAGAGGGGTTGAAGTTAGCTCTCAAGACCACAGGTGAGATGATAATGATCAGCATTATCATCACTGGGATGGGCAACACGGATGGATTGGTGACCTCCTTTCCTAGCGGTCTTTGTGAATGGTGCTTCTCCCTCTGGACTGTTCAGGAGCCCTTGGAGGCAGGGGAGAGATGAGATGTGCTCTGAAACATACCCCCTGCCTCCAAAAGTGCATCGGTGTGAATTAAGGCACAGGACAAAGCCTGTTGAGGCTCCGGGGCAGGGATGGCTGGCCGAGATGGCCCACAGATGCAGAAAGTGAGGGGAGGGGGCAGGCCAGATTGGATGGTAGCTGCTTATCATTCCCTTCAGCTCCCCCACTTTCCTTTCCAGCTGGAAGGCCAGTGCGCCATGCTACAAAATGATGAGCATGAAACCAAGGCTGAGAACACCAAGCTGAAAGTCACAAACCAGGAGCTGGCCCAGGAGCTGGCGCGGACCTCCCGGGAGCTGCAGGATGCCCAGCAGCAGCTGGAAAGCCTCCAGCAAGAGGCCCACCAACTCCACCAGGACAAGGAGATGTGAGTCTGGCCTTCGCGGGCTCCACCCCTGCTGTGAGCGTGCCATCTCCTCTCCTGGAGACCCTGTCACCTTGCCTGTCACTTGGGGCTTAGGGGTTCCTTGCTCCCTGAAAATCTCTTCTGGGATCCGGAGGCCATTAAGCAGACTATGGCAAGCATAATCTAGGATTTATAGGACATCTACAACCCTGTTCTGGGAAAATTTACTATGTGATGAGAAAGACGTGTTATCCAACCAATAAATGTAAGGCAGTCATTGAGAAAAGGCTGAGTGAGCAGCAGCACCCGTGACTGTCATGGTTTGTTTTATTTTTTAGGAGATTTATTTATTTATTTGAGAGAGAGAGAGGGAACACATGAGAGTGGGGGGGAGGGGCAGAGAGAGAAGGAGGGGGAGAAGCAGACTCCCTGCTGAGCACGGAGCCTGATGCAGGACTCCATCTCAGGACCCTGAGATCATGACCTGAGCAGAAACCAATAGTTGGTTGCTTAACTGACTGAGCTACCCAGCTGCCCCTTTTAATTTTATTTTTAGTTTTTAAATTTGTTTTAAAGATTTAGTTATTTGAGAGAGAGAGAGAGAGAGAGGTGACTGTCATAGTTGAGAGACTAGGAAGACCCAGGACAAGAAGCAGGTAGGCTTCTGAGGTCAACATAGAATCTGATGGAGTGTGTGACAGTGCTCTGGAATCTTTGCTCCAGTCTGCCCACTCTCTTCTCTGTGTGGGCCCAGTGTGGGGAGCCCCACATCTCTCAGGGCCCGGTTCGCCACTGAGCTGCATTGGGCGTGCAACCAGCCAGCTTGGCCTGCTAGGGAGAGGCATGCGTGAGGAAGGATCAAGGGCTGGGTCTGCATGCTGAGCCTGAGGAGTTGCTGCGGGACCAGCCATTTATCTTGTCTTGGGAGCATTAGCTTCTGAGAACAAATGCACTCCTTGGCGTGCCCAGGGACGGGGATCTCCCTTGTTTATTTGTTCACGCATTTACCCACACATTCATTTACTTAGTCACTTGTCAAACATTTATTGAAAACTACTCTGCGTTGGTTTTACTGTGTTGTGCATTCCGTGTATCACCCCATGTCAATAATTTGACATTATTCCATAAGAACTTGATAGCATCCTGCTGTGGCAGGTACTGTGAGTATCCACTCTGTGGATGAGGAAGCCCAGGGTCAAGGGGTCTTAAGTAACTGTCACACGATGTTCAGGGCTAGACGCATCTGGCTGACTCCCCACAGTGCATAATGAGCCGGCCAGAAAATATTGACTCAGGAGTAGGACTGGCCATCACTCACTCATTATTCGCTCAGGCTCTCATTCGTTCCCTTCATTCATTCTGCAGAAGGTCACGTGGGCCTGGCCCTGTGCCAGATGTTACAGAGAGTCTGATTTCAGAGGACAGTGTTGCTTAGCAGTGCTGAGTTTTACATAACGCTAACCTTCCCCTTGTTCAAAAGTGAAAGCCCTCCCTCTGTCAGACTGCTGGCAACATTTGGGTCCATTGGCCCAAATCCCATTGTTCTGGGTGTGCTCTGCGGCTTGGGACTGATTGCCTGGGTCGAAAGGGAGGAAATGTGTTTGCATGTGGAGTTTTACCCTGGTAAGACTTCTCTAGTTTAAAACAAACAAACAAAAAATGTATTGTCGAGTAACTGACTTAAAACAAAACAAAACCCTTCCCTCCGATTCTCAGATGACCAGTGGCAGGACTGTGTATTTCATTGTAAACGAGCAAAATCAGTTCCTCCTCACTGAGAGCAGGCCAACAAGGTGCAGGCATTTAACTTTACAAACAGAATTAAGGATTCAGGCTCTTAAAATTCAATCAAGTGCTAAAACAACAAACATCTGAAGGCACAGCATTAGGACAGCAAATGGAAATAAGCACCCAGTGCTGGGGTATCAAATCACAGCATGAGGATTAAAATCTTTCTGAAGTCTTATCTTAATTAACCAAGCCAGAGACACAATCTCTGGAGGCTGGGAATTGAAAAAGAGGGTTAGGAGGGAGAGAGAAATGATTTCCGAACCTCCGTGACTTGCTTTCAGAAAGCGCACAATGCTGCAGTGAGAAAGCATGCTGGGAGCCCAGGAGCGAGGGTCCTGTCCAGGGAGGTCAGGAGACAAGGGCAGGGAGAGCCTTAGCTTGTTCTCTGTAGAGCAGAATCCCAGAGCAACAGTACAGACAGACCCCGAGTGCTCTAATCCACCTCTTCATTTTATGAACAAAGAAACTGAGGCTCAATGAAGTGCCGTGACCGCCCCCAAGCCACACAGCTAGTTAGTGCCAGAAAACGGGGACAGAGCCTAGTCGTCCCAATAGCATGCGCTCCCCCCGCACAACGTCTTGCTGCCTGATGTTGCACCAGAGCAGCTGGGAAGGGAGAGGATGGAATAGGAATAGGGGATAAAAAGACTGAGTCATTCATCAGCTAGAATTCTGAACGGGCAAAATTAATTTTTCTCTTCTCTGAAGTTGCTCAAGGAAGGAGTACTTGATTTTAAAATAAGATAAAGAAGGCACAATCCAGCAGGAGAGATAATATAAAGATGAAAGTTCAGCTGAAAAGCTGTACCTCTCTATTTATTTGGTTAATGAATTTTTGTTTAGGGTAGGGAGTTTATGACAAGGCACAGAATCCCAAAGGCACAAAAGGATATATACTCAAAAAGAGGCCTGCGTGCCCCGTGCCCCACTCGTGACTCCGGGCCTGCGATCGCCAGGCCACCAGTCCTGTTTCTTGTGGATCCTTCCAGAGTGTTCTATGTATCTACCAGCACGTGCACGTGCACGCACACACACACTTCTCATTTATAAAGTGGCAGCACACTGTTCTGCATTAGCCTGCGTTTTTCACTTGACGGTATATTTTGGAGATGCTCCCTGACTCATCCCTCTCCAGAAAACAAAGCCAACAGCCGTTCTCTAAAGACAACCATAAACCTCTCACCAGTCACTCCTATGAAAAATGCCAAGTTCTTTCCCTTTCAGTCCGCAGATTACCCAGTATAAACCTTTACGACGTCTCGTTAGAAGGACTTTGAAGGTCCTTTGGTCAAATGTCCAAGTGTCATTTGGTTTTTCAGGAATGCCCTTCTTTTTGTTAACACACAAAAAGCCGGAATATGTGTATGGATCTAAACAGATGTATGTTTACTAGACAAATAGGTAGACCTATATTCGCGTCGATATGTAACATATGTGTGTACATACGGGTGTGTTTGTGTGGCTTCAGCAGTCAACTGGTACCATGTAAACAGGGCAGAGACCGGACTGCCTTGCCTTTTAGGAACTGGCTCCTAAATCAAGCACTCTGTGAGAACACAGACCTCCGATTTCCAAGGAGTGATTGTCCTTAGCAGGGGCAAAACTGTCTGCTCCTGGCTGAGAATGAGAACCCAGGGCTGGGCTGGAGGAAACACAAAGCCACCCTGGTGACCGGGGCTCGGTGGCAGCACACAGACAGCCGTGCTCCCGAGGGCCCATCACAGCAGAATCCTGCACAGGGACTTGGGGGCCCGGTTTGGGTAATGGAAAATACATTGTTTTCCCAAGTTGAAATTAAATATAATTGGTAATAAAATGTTGGGAATTTGCAGCGCTGCAGGAGCTAGAGAAGTTTTGTTGCTTAATTAGGATTGTCTGAGGTGAACTTAGAATTTGATTCAATCTGTTATTGTTGTAAATGACTTTATAATTATTCTATAAGGGGGGAAAAAAAAACACACCGATACCTTTTAAGGAATCTGATTATGGTGAGTTTGGCCCAAGTCTGGATGGATGGAGCAAGCAGGTGCTGTTTTTACCAGCTCAGTAATGACATTGAGGGGGCAGCGGCGGGTGTGTGTGTGTGTGTGTGTGTGTGTGTGTGTGTGTGTGTGTGTGTGACTGTCCTTGCCCAGCCCGGTGTGGGCACAATCCGGGGAGCCCAGACAGTCTGTGGAAATGCACACATTTGTGAGGCTGGAAGATGCTCCTTACACTAGAAGCCCTGCCATGGTTTGGAAATCTGGAACTATAGACCTTTTGCAGTAAGCTTAGGAGTGATTCAAACATTTCTAAACCGGTGCAGAGCACAGAGGAAGGATGGAGGCAAAATTGTGAAGTTCAGCAAGGCTTATTTTCCAATGTCACCCAGTTCGGCTTTCCTTTTTTTCTTTCTTCCCTGAGTGGTATTGAATACCTCCCCGACTCACCCCTTCCTTCCTCTCTTCCTTCCTCCATCCCTGCCTTCCTTCTTCCCTCCCCCACTCTCCTTTTGTTTCTTACTGCTATTTGTTAAGCTTTCATGCTGGATACTGGGCTCTGTAGAGATGCAAACATACAGGACCAAAACAGACACGGCCCCTGCCTCACCCTCTGAGTTGCTCTCCAGACACCCCAGCTACCTCTAAGCTTCTCCCTCCCCTTCCTCAAAACTCCTGACATGATTGACACATTCACACTGATATAAGCGTCTGATTGTAATTGACACATTTAATCTCTGCTTGCTGGCTAGAGATAAGAAATCCTAAATCAGGGGCGCCTGAGTGGCTCAGTCATTAAGCGTCTGCCTTCGGCTCAGGTCATGATCCCAGTGTCCTGGGATTGAGCTCCGCATTGGGCTCCCTGCTCGGCGGGAAGCCTGCTTCTTCCTCTCCCACTCCCCCAGCTTGTGTTTCCTCTCTCGCTGTGTCTCTCTCTGTCCAATAAATAAATAAAATCTTTGAAAAAAAAAAAAGGAAAAGAAATCCTAAATTAAAGAAATGAATGGCCAACAGTGGAAATTTCAGAGATCTATGAACAGATTGGAGACTTATAGGGGAAAATGGGGAAGGAGGAATGATTCTTCTGGAGCTCCTGGAAACAAACACAACCAGTGTCAGGGGGAAAAAAATACAAGTTCTGCTCTCACCCTCTAAGATGGGGCTGAGGAAGAATGTTGGTTCTAATTCTCTGAATTCTGGGCAGGGCAGGACCACCTGGAGCCTGGGCAGGGAGCCCTGTTCATCGGTTTGGTAGTAGGAGGTCCTAATCTAGATTAGAACCCTGCTCAGTCATGGATTGTCTGTGTGACATGGGGAGAGTTACTGACACTTTGTCTGTGTCTATGAAATGGGGTAATTTTACTTTCCAAATAGGGCATCTGTACTGATAAGTGAGATCATGGCTGAAACCACCTGCCAATAGCAGGTGTTCTCCAAGGGAGTCATATTCCTCTAACCCCCCGTGTCCCCAGGGTGGGGTACTGCCGGCTGGGTTTCAGTGGGAGGGTCCTGGGCATCCAACTTCAGCACAGCCCCTCACACTGTGGTAGCTTGCATCCCCAGAATGGAAGCTCAGAAGTGCTGTGTTTGCTTCCTCCTCAGGGAAGTGTACCGCGTGACGGAGAGTCTGCAGCGCGAGAAGTCGGGGCTCCTGAAGCAGTTGGATTTCCTGAGGTGCGTGAGCACTGGGTGTGTTCCGAGAGCACATCCCGGGTGCCTGGAGTGGGATGGGCCAATCTGAGAGTCTTCCCTGCCTCCATTGTGGTCGGTCATAGACACCGAGAGAATGCTCTCATTCCCCTGATCCCCAGCGTATCACATTTGGCCCATTCACACACACGCTCACATCCCTCTCCAGTCTGTACCCCTGCAGGTGGGGTCTGCCTCATTCTTTGTGGCATCTCTTGCAGCACCTTGTGTCGTACTTGCTCCAGTAGGAGGGGAACTGAGTTTCTTGAGCTGCTACCCTATGGCAGATTTGGTACCCTTTCATCTTCAACGAAACTCAGGAAAGGAGGGCAGTTGCTGATAGAGAAATTAACAGAGGAGCACAAACAGAGCAAAGGAGTTTAGAGTTTCCTTAGCTCGCTAAAACTCACTGTAAATTCAAAGCTCATTGGTCTGGGATGTGCCAGAACCAAACCCAAAACAAAACCTGTGTGTGGAAAGATGGGGTTTTCACTTTTGCCTGTGAGGTTTCCAAGCTACTTCTGTCTGCCAAACGCCTCTTGGGAATGGTGATGAAGTGCAGTGAGTGGTCTTGAATCGGGGACACTCGGACTTGTTTTGTTTATTTGTTTATTTATTTATTTATTTAGAGAGCGAGTAGGGGGAGGGGCAGAGGAAGAGAGAGAGAGAGAATCTCAAGCAGATTCCGTGTTGACAATGGAGCCTGACGCGGGGCTGGATCTCAGGACCCTGAGATCATGACCTGAGCCGAAATCAAGAGTCAGATGCTCAACCGACTGCGCCACCCAGGCGCCCCAGTTTTTATTTTGTTTTATTTGAAAGCCAGGTGAGGTTACTGTGTCTGTCTGGCATCTGTGATGCTACCAAATGGAAAAGTGCTCCAAACTGAATGGGACATGGCCACGTTCTAATCCATTTGAGAGCAGGTCTTGATTCTTAGGAAGCTTTAGTGGAAGGAAGAGAACAAGATGTACAAGGACAAGTTTTTGCGGTTTTTTTTCCTTTTTTCTTTTGTACTTAGAAGAAAAGGACAGATTCAAGCGAATGAGCAGAGGAGAATAACAAGGCAGCTCTCTGCGTATGGGTCTCTTCAGAGACCAGCATTTGTGCAGAATCACATGCCTGAAGCATTTCTGTGCTGTCGCATGCTTTACAAGCTTAGATTCTGCAGCTGCTGACAGCCCAGATGTGGCCGATTTTTCCTCCACAGTGAAATCACCAGGTAGTGACAGAGAGCAGTGGGAAAAAGGAGTCAAGTAAAGAGATAATGCTTGGGCGAGCGATAGCGGGAATGTGGAGTTGGAGATTGGGGGGAGGAAGTGGGGGAATTGGGACAATGGCTGGGATGTGACAGGAGAAGGAAGGGACAAATGGAAACAATTTCAGGACACTCAGGAACACGTGCTTGGGAACCCAGCATCTATACTGTAGGGCTCCTTATAAAACTTGAGTGAGATCAAGACACTTTGCTTCCACTCCCCCACCCTCCATGGCCTCACATCTCTTTTGGAGTAAAATCCCAAGTTCCTACAATGGCCCACAAGACCGCGAATGGTCAGGTCTCTACGTGTCCCCCCACCTTTCTCTGACCTCATGTTCTAATGGTTCTCCTCCGAGCACTCTGATGCCCTCCCTTCTCTTCCTCACACACATCCTGTAGAGCTTGACTCCAGGCTTTGCCCTAGCCATCTCCTCTGCCTGTGATGCTCTTCCCTCAAATATCAGCATAGCTCCCCTCTCCTGCAAGTCTCCACTCAGATGCCGCCTCCTTGAGTGCCCTACTGAGATACCACTGCACCCTCTGACACTCTTTTTTCCATATGCCTGCTTCGTCTTTCTCAATAGCAATGACCCCTGCACTAAAATAAAATTCCCTGGGGACAGGAACTCTTTCTTTTATTCATTGTTTGTAACCTTGGTAGCTAGAACCGTGCTGAGCATGGAGTGGGTGCTCGGGAGACATTTGTTGAGTGACTGCACGCATGCATGAAATGAATGGGTCAGAGAAAGAGCACACGCACCCAATAGCAAGCTCACAGGTGCTGCGGGAACTCCTGGTCACCCTCTAGGGGAGGCTCTCCCTAGTGGTAGGATCCTGAAGTGCATGATCCTGAAGGATCTGTCTGTCCCCCAGCCTCCAGCCGACTTACACACAAACTAGCCTCTGTCACAATCCCCAAGGAAAGACACACTCCCTGGGCTTTCCACATCAAGATTTTCTCTGCGCGCATCTCCCTGGCAAACCGGTCACTATTGGATCTATCCACTGCAAACACCATGTCTGAATAGATACCCCTTTTCCACTTGCAGGGAAAGGAACAAGCATCTTCAGGATGAACGGGACATACGTTATCAGGTAATTGCCCCATGCTCCTTTTCCCAACCGGATTTGGGTCCACTGGCAGCCAGAGCCCGTGCTGGGACCAGCCCAAGAATGTCCTTGACGTCTGGCTCATCCTTTCTGTGTGAGCAGACAATGGCATGGATTTTTTTTTTTTTTTAATAATAAAAATGCAGGGTGGCCTTCTGAGTAGCAGTGTGTGAATTTTCGATGAAGTAACACACTTGCCTCTTGGCATAAAGAGACTAAAATATTTAAGAGGGTCACAGATCGCTTCAACATGGACATGGTAGATCTATCCAGGAGATGGCACAGTTGAAATATCATGATCACTTTTAACCAAAATGCTCACAGGTTTTTTTTCCCCCCTTCATTGACATGTTTAATCTCTTGATGAAAAATTTGCATTTTTATACCATCATAGAACAAATTAAAAATGTATATTTCACTATTAACATCGTTGATTTTAAGTACACATTTTTTACCCTACGGGGACCCCTGTTTCTCTGTACCTGAACACCACACTTACATACTCTCCCAAATAGCACAGAATCCTATATGGATTTACAGGTCTTCACTTTGAGCTACATTAAACAAAATCCAGGATGCCATGTTCTCCCACTCATCTTCCCCTTTAGATAGGAGCCACTGGATGCTCCAAAGGGACAGAAAAGGAGAACAGGATTCACCGATGCAACTTCCTAATCATCAGGATCTAGTACATCGTGCATTTCTCATGTGTCCTTGGGCAAGTCATCAGCCTGCCCGAACATGACCCCAGCTCTCACATGAGGAAATCCTATCCTTTTTTCCATATTATAGGGATTTTTGAGAAAAACTCTTGCAAAGAGGAGGGTCATAGGCTCTGGGCCCTGAGCTGGACAGTGGCCTGAATGTGGTCAGCATACGGCAGGTGGTTCACAACTAAAAATCCCTGGGGAGAACTTGTTATACCCCCATTTCTTTCCTGCCACTGACTGGCAGCAAATTTCTCTACCACCCACCTCTATGTACTGTCAGAGCAAGGCTTCAGCCTACACATGTTTGTTTGATGATGATAATGGTTATAATTGTTTTAGAAGTAACACTGAATTTGTTTTAAAATTTCCAACCAAATGTCACCCTAATCCCTTGACCTCACTTCCCTTCACCTGCCAAACTCATTTTGCTTTGAAAAGGAAATGGAATTAAGAACCTTAGTGGGGAATAGAAGAAAGAGGGATAAAATCATGTTCATGCTGAATAATAATTAAAGATTAATTTGGAATCATTATAGCCATACCTTCAGGGGCCCTGGGAGCACTGCAGCCCCTCCTTCTCTCATTAAGAATCACTGGGAATCGTGGGGATAGCTGGTTAATGAGAGATTCCTCCTATGATCTAACTCCCCCTCACGTCCTGGGAGACATCTGCTGGGGAGCACCGTAGCAGGGTTGTAAGCCCCCACTTGCCGCGGGGCACCAGGCTAATCGATCCTCAGGGCTGGTCCCTTTCTCATTTCTGGGGCTTTGGAAATAAAGACGAGTTGGAGCCACACAGATGAGTGTGATTTAAAGATGCACAATCTTTTCTGCCCATTCATACCTTCCTATGCCTTCCACATAATCTCTTCTTGTCATCTTGCAAATTGCTAGTACTGCTGTGAAGGGTAACAAGGGGGACCCCAAGCTCTAAACTGTGTATTGATTTGTTCTATTAGATTGTTGGGCAGGAGATGGAGGGATCCTGATGAGAAACAATAGCAAAAGGAAAGAGTAAGAGAATGCTAACAGGGAGACCAGAACATTGCTTACTTCAGAATTTGGTTTAGAGCCTGACCTTTGAGTTGGGAAAGTGGAGCCCTTTCTGCTCAAACATTGGGACAAATCAGCAGGCGTGGATCTGAGGGCATTTTGTGTTTCTACAGAAAGATAAGGCAGCCAAGGCAAACACAGCTGCTTCCAAGGCGAACTGGAAACAGAGATCTGGCTCTGTGATAGGCAAATACTTGGACAGCAGAGGGATTCTTAGGAGGTAAGTCATCCCTGATTTCTTCATTCATTATGTGTTCCTTTGTCTTGCACCCATCGGCTCTCAAGAAGTGGCCCCGGATGGGGAAGCCCAGAGTCATTTGCACTCACTCCCCTTGAATCTTGGAGGACACGTTCCTTTCTGTTCTGACATCCAAGTGGGAGGAGGACTGTGCAGGGCAGGTCCCTGGGACAGGACATGGTCTTCTAGTGTGTGTCTGCAGATAGGAACTGAAGAGGTGCTGTAGATCAGCAGAGGAGAGACAGAGAGAGGGGATGAAAAGGGTCAAGGGAGAGAGGTGGAGCGTGGCTGGAAGATACTCTCTGTTGGGCAGAATGGATGCACCTGGTTTTTCAGGGACATGACTGTTTGGGCTCTGAAGGGTAATTGAAGTGTGGGATGGCGTCTCCAATAGTTGAGCTGCTTTACAAACAGGAATGGGGCCTGTGCTTGACAGATTTCTCTCAGTGCTTCACATTTAATTACCTCAAAGATAACATTTTTTTTGTTTCGATTAGACAGCACAGTAATCGAATTTGAGTCCCCAGAGGAGTGGCTCATCGCCCATTGAAAGAGACAAGCCAGTCCTCCACCTTCTTTTCCTTTTTGGCATGTGTCCCATCCACATAGATGGCCACAGAAAGGTAAAGGCAACCAGACCCCTAAGAATCAAAGCCAGGGAGAAAGTGCATGAATTTGCTCATCCAGGAGACCCTGAGGACAGCAAGCATGAAATACACAATACAAAAAAGGGAAGTGACTCTGGAGATGTTGATGAGCTCATTGGTCAAGTCTTTGGACCCAATCGTCCTGAACTCTTTCTCTAAATAGCTCAACAGAGGGGCACCTGGGTGGCTCAGTTTGTTGAGCATCCGACTCTTGATTTCAGTTTAGGTCATGATCTTGGGGTCCTGAGATCGAGCCCCGTGTCAGGTCCCACACTCAGCACAGTGTCTGCTTGTCCGTCTCACTCAGCTCTTCCCCCTGCTTTCTCTCTCTTTCTCTTTCTCAAATAAATAAATAAATAAATAAATAAATAAAATCTTTAAAAAAAAATAAATAGCTCAACAGAGGGATACAATCTGGGATCCAAGTTTCTGCAATAATAGTTGGCCTGTTGGTTGCTCAGCACTGAATATATTCATTCAACAAACATTCACTGATTGCTTAATCTGTACCAGACATTCTTTTGAGTTCTGTGATGTCTCCAAAAATAAATTAAACACGAGTCCATTGTTGAGTGCCTACTATGTGCAAGATATTTTGCTATGTGCTAGGTATACAGTGGTGAGCAAAAGAGACCCTTTCGTAGAGCTTAGGGTGGAGGAAAGGAAACAGACAATAAGCAGGTAAGTAACAAATCGCACACCCTGAATTCCAGGACAGGCTTTGGCAGAAGCCACTGCTCTCTGCTGCTCATATGTAGCCTTTGATGGCAAAACCAAAAATAAATTTAGTCGTGCTAAGCTGAGGATTTTAGAGGATGTCAACAATGCTTGAGTATTTCCCAAATCAAAAGCTTTTTCCAAGAAATACTTCATTTTAGGGCTGTTTCAGTGGCCATTTCTTTTTTCTGGTTGCAAGGCCTTTCAAGAAACATGCTGTGTATGTATGTGCACACTTGTTTGCATGGGCACGCACGCATGCACTCACGTTTGTAAGCAGAGTGAAAGTGGATGGAATACTAATTGTGTTCCAAAGTGGATAAGCAGTCCGTAGGCTTGTTAGACTGTAGAAGAAATTTGTTGGAAGGAAGACAGTCAGCTTCTATTCAAAACTATGATTTTATAAATAAGTGGGAAGGTCCCTGAATTGCTACAGAATTCTTTATTTTGTATCAAGGGACCCAAATTAAGTCACCATTTTTGTGAGCACTCTATCTTAATTTATCTTTCGGAGTTGCACCTAACTTCAGAACAATAATACATGCAGTTTTTTTTTCCTTTCCCTTCCTATTATTGGTCCTTAGGAAGAATAAATAGTATAAGCCCCGGGGACACAATGAAGGGAGCTTCACTGTTCTGCATATTCTGTGACCTTCGCCTACCTTCTTTCTCCTTTGGCCCTGTCACCTCCTCACCTAATTTGCATTCCATTCTCCTTTCTAATCCTTGCATGTGTGTGTGCATGTGTGTTTCATTTTGGGACTCAAGGTTCTCCCTGTCAGATTTCCATTTAAAACCCTTCTCGGCTTTAATTGTTCCCAGAGATCTGAACTCGTGTGCCAGGAAGGGTCTATGAGGTCTTTGCTCGAAAACCTTCTGAGAATACATTGGCTCACGTCTGGTTGCCCAGTTCCCTCCACCTCCTTCTGCTTTTCCTTGTTCTTGATGCTCAGATGCTTCTGGAAGCAAATATACACATAGGCCTCTGAGGCCACTAACTCCTGACGCTGACTGGCAGGGATATTGAAAGAGAAAGAGAAAGGTAGGAAAGGCAGGTAGAGGTGCCCTGCCTGGCTTCCTTGCAACCCCAAGCCCATCCACAAATGGGCAGCTGCTTCTGAGCCAGTGGTGGGGCTCCTCCCAGAGCAGCAGTCCCCCCTCACTCACTTTGCTGAGGGCTGTTTTGTGAACGCATCTGTTTTTATGCTTTGTCTTATTAGGAAGGTAGGCAGGACACATTGTATGGTGAGGAAATTGAAGGCTGGAAGAGTTGAAGTGTTTTCCCTAGTGACACAGTCAGTAAGGGGCTGGTATTGTGACCACAGCCAAGGCCACCTGATTGTTAATTGAAAATGCTTTATTTCCAGATCTTTTATGCTCCTTTCTTCACATCCTTTATTCTTCCTTTTTGGCGTTTCTCATAGCTTGTTGAAGTATATTTAGTTGTGCCATTACTGCTTCAGCCCCCCACTAAGCTGAGCATGCCATGAGGAGGGGCTGTGTCCATCTGTGCATGACTGTGTCGTTAGCTAAATACCTGGTGGTAATCATCACCACCATCTTCCTCATCTTCATCATCACCATCATCATCACACCACCTTCATCATCATCACACCACCTCCATCATCATCACACCACCTTCATCATCATCATACCACCACCATCATCGTCATCACACCACCTCCATCATCATCATCACACCACCTTCATCATCATCATACCACCACC